TGTGTGTTTGTGTGTTTGTGTGTTTGTGTGTTTGTGTGTTTGTGTGTTTGTGTGTTTGTGTGTTTGTGTGTTTGTGTGTTTGTGTGTTTGTGTGTTTGTGTGTTTGTGTGTGTGTTGTGTGTTTGTGTGTTTGTGTGTTTGTGTGTTTGTGTTTGTGTGTGTGTGTGTGTTGTGTGTTTGTGTGTTTGTGTGTTTGTGTGTTTGTGTGTTTGTGTGTTTGTGTGTTTGTGTGTTTGTGTGTTTGTGTGTTTGTGTGTTTGTGTGTTTGTGTGTTTGTGTGTTTGTGTGTTTGTGTGTTTGTGTGTGTTTGTGTGTGTTTGTGTGTGTGCGTGTGTGTGTGTGTCTGTGGTTCTGTCCCCCCTTCCGGACCTTCCTATGGCGGGAGCTGCCGTGCGGCCCGGGGGTAGTGGGCGCCCGCCCGCGCTCGGCTCGCTGCCGAGCGCCCGGTGCGCCACGCAGGCCCAGAGGCGGACGGCCGGCGCGCAGGCAGTTCTGAAGGGACACTCAAATAAACAAGTGGCACGTGTGCCATGGCTCTTGCTTGCACAAAAAGGAAGGGGGAGGAGGAGGAGGTGGAGGAGGAGGGGGGAAGAGGGGGCAAGACATCGCCCCTCGGGGCCCAGCAACGGGGCCCAAATCCCAGGTGGGGAGGGGGGGGGAAGGTGGTGTGCGTCGCGACGCGGAATAAAGTGCTCGGAGCGGAGGGGGCACGGGGCGGAGGTCCCACTGGGGCGCTGGGGGCGCGGAGAGGAGGGGGGGGAGGTGGTGTGCGTCGCGACGCGGAACAAAATGGTCGGGGCGGAGGGGGCATTGGGCGGGGCTTGGGGCAGAGGGCCACGGGGCGGGGGTCCAACTGGGGCGCTGGGGACTGGTGGGGGGGGGAGGTGGTGTGCGTCGCGACGCGGAATAAAATTGTCGGGGCGGAGGGGGCACGGGGCGGAGCCCCCACTGGGGCGCTGGGGACGCGGGGAGGGAGGTGGGGGAGGTGGTGTGCGTCGCGACGCGGAATAAAACGTTCGTGGCGGAGGGGGCAGTGGGCGGGGCTCCCGCTGGGCCGCTGGCGACGCGGGGGGGCTCGGGGCAGAGAGCCACGGCGCGGGGGTCCCAATCTGGCGCTGGGGACGCGGGGGGAGGGGGGGTGCGCGACGCGGAATAAAGCGTTCGTGGCGGAGGGGGCAGTGGGCGGGTCCCCCGCTGGGGCGCTGGGGACGCGGGGAGGCTCGGGGCAGAGAGCCACGGCGCAGGGGTCCCACTCTGGCACTGGGGACGCGGGACGGGGGGGGATGTGCGACGAGGAATACGTTCGTGGACGAGGGGGCGGTGGGCGGGGCTTCCGCTGGGGCGCTGGGGCGGGGGAGCTCGGGGCAGAGAGCCACGGCGCGGGGGTCCCACTCTGGCGCTGTGCAAGAGGATACACACAAATATAACGAGTCACCATAGTTTCCCATATTTTCTGGGTTTGTGTCTTCCCCCCCACTTCCCATAGTTCCCCATATTTTCTGGGGAATCGACGATTAATTGTGTCTGTGTGTTTCTTTCCCTCTTGAAGTTCTTGGAGGACTGAAAATGGGCACCAACACCAACGCAGGGGGTTGCCTTGTTTTTCATCCATCGACTTCGGGGAAGCAAAAGATCCACATTGCTTGAGTCTGTGGATGGTGTGCGAGCGAACTGCATTAGAAAGATTCCCGTCGCAGGGCACGGTTGCCCTATCTCGCCTGTCTGGGGCGCGCTGCGCGAGCAGGGGGCTGCGACGAGCGTCGAAACCTGCTGCGTCCTCGGCTGGTGGCCGAGGGTCTACGTATTTGGATCATCTTACCTCGAGCTCCACAGGGGGACGATGATCCTAGATTTCGGTGCTGGTGGCAATATTTCGGCTACCTCGGCAGCCAGAAGATTACTACCGTCACCGAGATCGGGATCATCTTCCCACGGTGGAGGAACACCGCCGAGGAGGAGGAGGAGGAGGAGGAGGAGGAGGAAGAGGAGGAGGAGGAGGAGGAGGAGGAGGAAGAAGGGGGAGGAGGAGGAGGAGGAGGAGGAGGAGGAGGAGGAGGAGGAGAACTCGGCCCAGCCTGCAGGAGAACTCGGCCCAGCCCACCGAGATCGGGATCATCTTCCCACGGTGGAGGAACACCGCCGAGGAGGAGGAGGAGGAGGAGGAGGAGGAGGAAGAGGAGGAGGAGGAGGAGGAGGAGGAGGAGGAGAGGGAGAAGGGGGAGGAGGAGGAGGAGGAGGAGGAGGAGGAGGAGGAGGAGGCGGCGATATTGGTGTTGGCGTCAACCTCTGCGCCTGCGAAGCTCGTTGCCGTGCCGGGTCTTCGCGGCGACGTCGACTCAGATGCAGATTTCCAGCGGATGCGTCGACGTGCGCGCCGCGGGGACACGTCGCCCCGCTTCGCCCGCCCTCCTCACCATTGTCGTGGCCCTCCTGCCGCTATCAGGTCGGGCATGTGCCCCTACAGGCGGATCTTGGACGAACCATGAAAGATACCCAACAA